GAACTTGGTCAGCACCTGATCAGTGAGCAACAGTGGAAATTCCCCTGCACCCAAGGCTCAGGGTGAGGAGCCTCCTATGACCACACAACAAGCAGCAATTGAAATGCACCAAGAGGAGGAGGTTGGTGTTATTCCAGAAGTTTGCCCAAGTGCCATGCACACATGGGTCAGGAGGGATCCCCTTGGCACAGCTTCTGCCCAGGATGTCTCTGTACCCATCAACATGCAGCTAGTTCTGCTCACTGCTTTAGCCCCAAGGATCAAATATTGATTATTATATTTGGAGAAAGAGAAGTGGATTGTAGCAGTGAGAACTGAGAAGTGAATAAACCCCTTGCATTCACTCATCTTTCCCTTCAATGAGGATGGAAGTTGTTCATCAAAACAGGGAGTAAAACATAAAAAGTAAGTCCCACGAGCCATCCCAGTGCCAGACTTGTAGGAAGCTATAAAACAGAGGCTCTTTAACCCCTTCCTACAGGAGATTCACAGCAATGAGCTGCACAAATCCAACTGGGGAAATGCTACACTAAAGCCCCACTTCCAGCCCAAAGCACAGTGAAACAGCCAAGTGTGACCAGAGGTGAGAATAAGGCCTGGGATTTTCAAGGCCCTCAACTCCAACCCAACAGATTCCGTGCTGTCATAACCACATTCCAAATCTTTTCTCCATCCCTGCATGTAAATCCCACTATCAAGTGGAGCTACCTGGGAGGGCAGAGAGAAGGGGCTCCCAGGAACCCTGTCTCACTTTGTTCTGTGGAGTGGTGAGATGGGCTCCTGAAAGGCAACAGACTGGAACAACAGCCCTGAGCCTCCAGGGCTCATTAACTCTCCTTGGCCACATCTGTGATTTGCTACATGATGCATGGAGGAGGAATTTCTACCCTGTCTCCTGAAAAGTAGTCCTGAATCCCGGGCTGATCAGCCACTGCACCAACCTCCCTGTCCATCGCAGACACACAGTGACTTCAATTAAATCATGCCTGAAATCTGAAAAGTAAATCAGGTGGGGAAGGCATTAATGACAAGCAATATAAAGGCTCAGTGCAAACCTTCCCAAGATGAACTGTCCTGACCTTGGCTGGGCTGACAATGAAAGTGTGACATCATGTGCAAACGAGCTCTAAATTCAAACCAGGTGCCGGCAGCTGCCTGGCGTCCTGTGGCTGCGGCACAAAGCCCTGACGTGTGAGCCAGGATGCTGGGGGCAGCAGAAAGGCTGAGCACGGACAGGACACACTCAGCAACAAAACAGCCAGTGCAGCACAGGACAGAATTCTGCACTGCATTCAAAACGCTGGGATTTGTGCTCTTTGGTGCCAGTTCCACTTGGGGCACACACCGTTAAGTAAACAGTTGCTGATGCTCGTGTCCACATGTGTGAGTGTTCCTACAGCTCTGGAATCAAGCCAGCAGCACAATAATGTGGGGTTTTTCCATGTCTGCCTATACCCAGGACTCCCTTGGACCTTGCAAAGTGCTTGGAGCTGCACTCACAGGACACAGCTATTGGAGAGCACTGTGACTTACAGCCAAAAAACACATCCACGCTTCAGAGCCCCTCCTGGCCAGCCAGCGTTGCTTTGCTGCTACCCCTTAAGGAAATTCCCTGTTCCCCATGACTGACCCTCACCTTGCTGAACAAGAAGGCCCTTCCCAAACAAGAAGGCCCTTCCCAAAGGGTCTCCATGAGCAGTTTTTCACCCCATTATGCACCACCAGGCCAGCTGCTCACCCTTTCCCCACACTGCAGAGGCAGTGCTGGCACAGAGCTGTGAAGCCACAGCTTCTGAGATAAATTCCGCTGGCTTTTGTTCATGGGGGGGACTGGATAAGAACAGAAGAAGCAGGTTTGCTGTCCATGAACCAATACCTGGGAGAACAGTAACTGCAGTTCTCATTTTTTGCATCCTGGTGTTTTGGAGAGCATGGTCCCAAGAATAAAATCCATCTCTGGGAGCAGACTGGCCCGGGAGGGGCAGTTGGGAACATTTCAGGATGTGCTGCAAAACATCACCTGCACAACAGAGTGGGGATCACACGCAACTGTGCAGAGTGTAAACTGTTCTTTATTTTTTGCTGATCATTTTTTGGAACATGCCCTGGCTGTTCCAAGTGACCCTGAGGCAAGGAGAACTCAAAACAGATAATCTGTTGCGATGACACACAACACACAGGTTTGACATAAACTGGGCAATTTTTACATCCAGATCATTATTAATCTCTTTTGGGAATTCCATCTCCACATGAACCGTGGCTGGATGAACACTACTGAAACACACAAATACCAAGACCACCACCACAAACTGCAGAAATTACCCAGCACTTTTATAATACTGAAAATTCTCTCCCACTGGCAGTAAAAGTTAACATGTCTAAAGGTTTCTTTGTATAGAGAGCAGCTAAAATGAATGGTTTCAACATCAAAATCAACTGGAAAACAATGATTTCAGGTAAAGTGTTAAATTAAATCTAACTAGGAAAGGAGTTCTACAATAATCCTAGTTTTGAGCACTGTTGTTTTGGCAGTCTCCTCCTGCCACGCTGGTTACAAAAACCACTCTTCACACCCAGCTTACCATAGTTCAGCTGAAACTTGAGCAGCCTCCAAATGGACAAGGAATAGGAGAAAAAGAGAAAATAAATCAAAGGCAGACAATTAATTTTCATCTCTCACATTGTTCTTCCTGATGAACTGGGGAAAGGGAACCTTTCCAAGTGAGTTCAGAAATGCTGTGGGTCCCTTCATCCATTCCTGTCAAGTCTTCAGTGAAGAAGGTTGGAAAATGCCACTGACAGGCAATAAAGTAAAAATCACTGCAATTCATAAATCTGGAAATATGGAAGAAAATATATCTGTATGCAAGAATAATGAAGAAAATATTTGTCAGCATTTACATGAACTGAGAGTTCCAGACTGAAGGTCTCTTCTGCTCAAAAATTTCATGGAAGTGCACAATTGTAGAAAAACCCTTGAGAGACACAACGCACAGCATAGCTGTGGGAGATGAGAAGGATAAATTACTCTGGTTTTTCGTTGTGGACAACACTCATATCTTCTAAATTTAGGAAGAGAAATTATTTTTCTGCCCCCTCTCCCTCCTTCCATATTTCAAGTTATGAACTACAGAAACTCCTAAGTAGAAGCATTTCTAGTTCTTTACAGATGAAAGGTAACAGGCATTCTGTAAACCCGTGTTCTCCTTTCTGCACCACAGCCAAAATGTAATAGAGCTCAGCAGAACTGTGAATTGCTTCCATTCATCCTCATCAAGTATTAACTTTGTACACTGGAATTCATCATTCCAAAGCCTACCTATCAGGACAGTCAGTCAATAGCCAGGCTAGTTAGGATAATACCCAAGGATTAAAAACAATACTGTAGTGATTTCTGCAGTACTACAGGAATCCACTGTAAAATTAACACTGTATTTCAAGTATTTTCTCAGTCACATTTTCAAGATGATGCACATAAACCAAACTGCCCAACGGCAACAGAGCATTACAGTGCTCTGGTAAGACTCAGCTTTTTCAGGGAGAGGAGGAAAGAGCAAAAGCTTAGCAAAGCTTTGCCAACTTTCTGTCCCCTCACAGATGTTCTAAGTATTCAGACTTAAGCATTATTGGTTAGAGTTTAAAATAAAAGTGACTCCAGTAATGACCTATCAGTACTACTCAACAATATGCTATGAGAGCAGATAATAAATGAGAAACAATTTCCACAAAATTTCAAATAAATACACTTCCTAAATTCTAGTGTCTGACAAAAATACCTGAGTTAATTCTCATCAATGTAAGGTCTCCTGTTTTCCAAAGAAGTTTTGGTTCAGTCAGACAGCAAATCACTTCCTGATGTACAGCTGTCAGTGCTGACTCAGGGTACACTTTTACAAGGCATATATTTAGTTTTCTACAGCGGTGCCAGAGATTCCATGAGCATCTGAATCCCTGCAGTGTAACAAAGCCCGTGAGACTCAGCTATCAGAGGGCAGCCACAGGCTACACCTGGTTAGCAGGAGTTTAAACTGGAAAAATAAAGGCAAGTTCACTTTTCAGGCAGATAATGTCACATCTCGTGGTCACCTTGGTTTTCTGTTGGGTAAACACACTGCCAAGAGCCACTGCCAGTACCACAGGAGCTGGGAACTCCTGGCCAAAGTGGATGTGCTGCTTCTGCTACTGCCAAACTATTACAGGGCTTACCTGGAGTCAAGAAACCTCTGCTGGAAACTTTGTTATAAAAATAACTGCAGTCTTTTCCAGGGATCTTTTTGTTTGGGATCCTACCAAAATTTCTGAGTTAGTTCCCTGTCCTCACCACATATCTCTATTTCTAAATTAAACTTCTAGGTAGAAAGATACTTTAAAGCAAAGAGGATTTCTAAAGCAGTACTAACTGCACCACCTGGGTGCCTTGAGGCCATCCATCAAAAATGAAAAGTAACTTCTGGACCATGAGAGAGACAAGTGATCTGCTGGCATGAGAAATCCTACTCTGGCAGCTCAGGAATAGAGAAGGTGATTCCAACTCTGCTATTTGCTGTTCCTCCCCATTAGACAGGAGAGGATCAAGCACATTCCATCAGCCTTTGCTTCCTTAGGGCATGAAATCTCTGAACACATAAGGCCACTTTAGGGCCATCAGATCCCACTTGATAGAAGCAAATGCTGAAAAACCTCGCCATGGTCTCAGCCACTGCTTTCAATCGACTAAAAGGAGTAACTTTTCTTGTGGGTAGCCAATACCATTTCCAACAAAGCCCAGCTGGTGTTGAAAATTGCATTCACATTCAGGGGGCTCAAAAATAAGGAATCATAAAAGACTATGTGGAAGTTCATAGACATCTGAGGTAAAATTAGAGTTCCATAGAAGTAAAATTTCCCTTTGTTTTCAACAGAGGCAGATTTTCATCTTTTAAGCCCAAATCTTCTCTGACACAGAAAAGAACGTAAAATATAGAAAAACTTTAGTTCAAACCTGAAACATTTGTAAAAATGAAAACAGTCTTTCACTTGGAGGAATACTGAGGTACTTTGAGTACTACTCAAAAGTAGATATTAATTGAAAAATGTCTATTATTAACTGCAAAATGAAAACACCAAAACAAAATGCTACTAAAAGCTACAGTGCTTGATGGGCAAAGCCTGCTAATTTAGAAATTGTATCAGGATGATTCAAGCCTGCTGACACAGAAAAACTGTATTTTTAAAAACACTTAACAAATATTATCATGGCACGCCCATTAAACTGAGCTAAGGCAGTTGGTCTCTGGATCCATCTTAGGATAAATTAGGGTAAACACTTGGAATCAACAAGTTCTTAATGTGAACTGGCTGAAATTTTGGAAATTAGTAAAGTAATAGAAGTCTTTCAAGGATTAGGACAATGTATATTATCCTGTGTGCCTATATCAGGTTGTGCACAAAAAGATTGATGTAATGTCTATTCACCTTGTTGTCTTGAAAGGACAAGTTATTTCAAGTTTCTGTTTTGTTCACCATGTGCCCTAAACCATTTTTGCACTGCAGAAATTCTCAAAACCTTTTTATCTGTCATTATTACATCATCAAAAGCTCTTATTTTAGAATGGCAAAGATGAATTGTCCAGCAACTGAAGAGAGTGACTCAAGATTAAAGAAGGGCCATCAGTAATGGAGCTGAAAAGAGCATTGCTTCTTCTATTGGCAGCTTTGGTCAGTGCTCCTTTAGGATGTCCAGCACCCACTGCAGCAGTGTTGGCACCTCTCTGGTTCTTGCTGTCCTGAATCTCAGTTCAGACAATGTCAACAGGCTGTTATTGATCAACCCAATTGAAAATTATTAGAACCAAACTGAGAAGGCCAACACAAATGCCAAAAATAACCAAGGCGCATGCCTGTGAAGAAAGAAAAGTAAAAATTAATGTTTTGCTGTAAGAAGCATTTTACATGTCCAAGGCTTATGAAAAGCCACAAGAACAGATACAAATAGTGCCTTTTAAAATAATCTGTAGTGTTTCAAATTACTCAGGCTTCAAACACAAAGTATCTGCTTAGTGGGAAACTAAACCAAGCCTGGGATAGTTTCACTGGGAACTCAGGGAGCAATCTGGTTTCCCTGCTCACACTATCCAGCTGCACAAAAAAATAATTTGCCCTTTACAACTCTAAACAAACTGAGAAACTGATTCATATTTTATTCAAAATACAATTAAAATTACAATGATTTTTTTACATTTTTGAATAGCCAGATGATAATAAAACCACAGTTCAAGAGACTACAGCTTGCTGATTTACAAGCCCCCAAAACTGCTGGAGCTAGTCATGACTTTAGCTAGTCAGAGGGCATCATTATTTGATTTTCTTTCAGATTCCCTGTTTTGTCACTACAAGAGCAGCCCCATGAATCATAAGAGTGGCAGAAAGACTATGTATAAACAGTTTGTCAGCATTTTGGTCACTGTCAAGGAGATGCTCTGCTGAATAGTGGTTAAAATGAAGACAGAGTGCAAAAAGCAGGCTCCTGCACAAATTCCAACCCAGAACTTAACCTACTACAACAAAAGAGAAACCACAAAGAGGAGAAAGAAACAAAACAAAAAGGAAGAGAATAAAAATATGTTTTTGCAAAGTCTTTTATAGAAAACAAGCACAAAAACTGTTTCACTTAAATGTAGTTTAGCTTTGTCCCAACTGCCAGACAACAGAGTAACAGGTAAAAACTGAGCAGAAACTAATTTAAAAGTCAACATCTGAAAACTATAGGGAAAAACACATATTCGGATCAATGGTCCAGTACACGGACACACTGCTTGCCAAAAATCTCTGGTGAAGAAGGAGTTTCTGAAAGACCAGAGCTACCAGAAAGGATGAAAGAAAATGCTCAGAGATTTTGTGAGCTGCAATGAAAACAAGAGCTTTGCCCCTCAGATTGTGTGCTCCACTGTGTATTAAAATGCATTTAAAATGAGCCTGTTTAAATATTATTAGTGCAGATGAAAAAACAGAAAACATACCCCAAGTTTCTGTGGTGATATAAAGTCCTCTCTGTTAAGTTTAAGATAAAATAGTCCAGGATATACAAAAAGCAAACATGTCGATGTGGTTGAACCTTTAAAAAACAGAAAGCAAGATTTTGTTTAGAGAAGACTGAAGTACATTGCAGAATCATATACTGAATTTCTTGAAGTTAAAATAAAAACCAAGAAAGCCAACCACCACAAGAACTTACCAACTACTCCAAACACATTTTTAATGTCTGGCACATACATTGCAAACAGGACAACAACTGCATTCAGTGTTAAGGTGACAAGGATATGGCAAATCCACGACTCAGGAAGATGAGAGAAAAACACCATCAACACAGCTTTCCTTGCCTACACAATACAAAGACAAACATGGTGTGGGTAAATACATACACACACACACACACACACACACACATTTTTTTTGATCTTATCTCAATTTCATAACCTTAAGAATTCTATCATTCCAGATGTGAAAGAGCATTTTAAAAATCAAAATGCCTTCGTAATAGCTGAATGCTTTGTCTCTCTGTAGTGTAGAATGTAATTTATTACTGTATTAAACTAAGATTTATCACATGGTCATTAGTCTTAAGAATTACTGGCCCTTCCCTGTTTTGCAGGGACAAAAGAAGGCCTGGGGGATAGTGCTTTGTCTCTTTGAAAATGCCTGGTAGCAAATGTCAGCATGTTGCCAACTGATACACAATCTATATACAGTGCTTCCATACACAGAGTTTTGCCTGCACAATTGTTTTTGGTCCTAAATGGATGACTTTTCAATTCTACCACAGTACTGATAAGCTAGACTAGAGTTGTTTGGGGTTTTTTTTGGTGAAATAGGTCTATACGTGTTTTTAATTTACAATTAAATTGAGTTTCAAATATAAGTGTGTTTGTGTGTGGGTGCGTGCATGTAGAAAGGAAAAACCAAGTCAGCAAAACTCAATTTAAGAGAAAAAAAAAATCAAACTAAATAAACTTTAGAAGTTCTGAATTCTCTAAATTAAAAACAATGCTGTGGGCTAGTTTTAATCTGAAATCTGTCTCAAGAGCACAAATTAGCTTAGTGGTTAGTTGTTATTTTGGAGCTTTCATGGAACATATGCAAATATGTGGTCTTTGATCAATCACTTGACAAGTGAATAAGATACACAAGACTAGATGTGACTCAAGAATTGCAGTCTGCAAAACATTAGTGACCAGTGCTCACTGCCAGCTCCAGAACTCTCAGGAATACTCACTGGGAAATGGATTAGAGGGACTGTCAGGAGCACAGCAAACAGAATGGCTGCTCTCACAGTCATCATGATGGTATCGTGGGGCAGGTACCTGGAGTAACCTTGAAGCAGTTCAGAGTCCACTTTGTCTGAAAACAAGACAAATTAATTGCTTTGTTAATCACTGGAGAGCTAAGGTAATTAGCAAGGCATATTAAAGTGATATTCAAAGGGATCCATCTGCTTGGAGGATGCAGATACACTCTGGTATTACTGATACACTACGATGCAAAATCTTCAGGGAAATGAAAAACTTCAGGAGGCAAAGCCAGGCAGAGCCTCTGCTGAAGCAAAGATGCCTAAAGAAAAGACACAAATGTGAAGCATTAAAAAATGGAGAAAATTGAACAGCAAAAGTCAGAGCACTGAGAGTGGTCTGCTATTCTGATTTTTATTTTTTTTAAATTTAACTCTGCTTTTTTGGACTTCAGAATGGACTGAAATTTTCGAAGTCTGGTCACCCTGTGAAGTTTCAAATTCACAGAAAACAGAAGAAACCATCTGAACCACAGAGAGATGAAACATGCCTCGTTTCAAAGAGGGAACACTTCTTTTGTTTCCAATTTAAAATAAAATGTTTTACATTTTCTCAGACTGGTGTTTTAGGAACAGGGAACAGACTTTCTCTGTTTAAAGAAATAAGTTAATTAAACAAGACAAGCAAAAAGTGAAAAGGAGAAGAAGCTTGCAAGAGGAAAAAAACCAAACCAAACAAACAAAACAACTCTCTTACAGACATCCACTCTTGATTCCAGCATTTCAGGCTCCTGAGTGCTAGAGTTACTAAAAGAAACCAAGCCTGCAGAAAACCAAAAGCATTCACAGTGAAGCAGACTGAAAGACTACAGTCAAGACAGGGTCTGGTCCCAAAGAAACCATGGCAGTAAAGGTAACAGCAAATGGGATGGCTTCCAGACTGGGGTTTTTTTCCTTTTTTTTTCTTTCCCCCTTCTTATTCAGATTTCATATGGACAGATTATTATCCTGCACTGCCTACTGAACCTCTGTGAGTTGTACTTACATTTATATTCTCCAACAAACCTCATGGAGACAGTCAGGAAGCAGCAATCATGGCCAATAGGCTATCAGGACCTTCAAGACTCCCCATGTAATTTTTCTAAGGTTTCTGGATATCTAGGGAATATTCTCAGACACGGGGGTATAAAAGGTACAAAAGTCCCTAAAAATCTGGAATTATTAGATGCTGAAAGCCAATACTCTTGGTGCTTTGTCAGACACCATATCATCCCCACGATGAAGAATTATAAAACACTTGGAAGTTGAGGAAATCCTCATCAGAACTTTCATCTTACTGCCTTAGAGCCGCCTGTGAGAATTTTTATTCATTTCAATCAATGAAGATTAGCATGTGATCATCTTATTATAAAAGTTTGCAGAAGACATCAGAAGGATCCTCATGGATGACTGTGATGCATTTATGTGACAGCATTTTTATGAAACTACAACAGAATCAGCAACCAGAGGAAATTCAATAAAATAGCTATGTTATCGTTGCTGTATGAAACAGACACTCACCTACTTCTGCCAGGGCTGTGATGGATCTTTAAAAAAAGGCCACTGTGTAAATAAGGGGTCTGAAATCTTTCTGTGCATTTGGGAAGTACAAGAATGCCAGACAGAAGAAGTCATCTATGTTTAAACTCTACTAAAAATCTGTACCCAGAAGTATTTAGATGTCCAAATGTAGAGTAATTAAATTGGTACTGCAGCATACTGTCACCCAAGCTCTACAGCAAATGAGAATGCCTGTAGAATTTGGCAGAGCAAGTGTGATACCCCACCCACTCTTCTGAGTGGTAATAAAAAGGTGCAGTTACTTCATCAAACGTCAACAACATTTCTAAGAAATGTGCACTTCTTGATTCAGTTAATGTATCAAACAGACACATTTCTGGCTCAGGAACTGCATGCAAGACCAGAAGCATGTGCTGGAAAACCCAGCACAAAGCCTATCCTTTTGAATTTTTAAAATCTGAGGGTTTAAGTGTACTAATGCCTGAAGCATTCCAGGAAGAACACATTTATCATTTAACCTTTGTTCTAAGGAATACTTGAAGAATGCACTTACCATAAAATGTCAGGTACCCAAAGAGAGCAGACACAAAGTAAATTAGGAAACTCAGACCAATTCCTGTGATAGTTACGTTCTGCATTCTCCTTTTGGATGGACTGAAATGGAAAAAAAAAAGGAAATCAGTGTTGTTTTATCTGTATTGAGGACGATTAAACACATCACAATCTATATAGTACCTTGACTTTCATAAGGAAGCACTGGCCTAATTTAAGGCCACTGAGTATTTGCTGAGGTCTGTGCTGTCACTGATATTTAGGGGGTTTAAAAGTATTTTTAATCTGGTAATTAAAAGGGCACTTCTCAAGCAGACAATTAATACTGTCCTCCATCTTGTGTGGAATTTAGACATCCCAGTGGCTCTTTTAAATGAAAATTGGGATTTACACAGGATGATACCTATTCAGAGCCAGAAACAGAATCTATGTCAAAAACCCTCACTGGATCAGATATGGCCAAATGCAGATTCTGTTACAGCCATAAAAATCGACAATTAAAGTACCTTAGCAAATGACCTTTTTTTCCTCCTGATTGTCCAGGGCAACATCCTGACATTGATGATGGAACTGTATTTGCTACTTTTCTCTCCTCAAAGAGAGAAAAAGCTAATACAGGCAAACTGCATAATTCCCAAAACCAGGAAACCTCCTTATTCTGCAGTGTTTGATGACACTGACTTAAAACTAAAGTTTACTCGGGATTAATTTAGGGAAAGTACTACAAAAAAGGTTATAATTATGTTTTAATATTGCATGTGTTTATACATTACCTTTGGAGCTCACAATAGATTGGCAAGACTGAGGTATGGCACAGAAAAGAGAAGGCCATAGTTGGTATTGCATAAACACTCTGAAACAGAAAGAAAACATCTTGTAAGTTGTTTGCTATTACTGCTGATTGGAAAAATATCTGTATGAACTCAGAATTCAGTTCAAGTGTTGGAAGTCAGTGGAAATATTTCCAGATGAATGCTTTGAGATAAATCTCCACAAGACAGAAATGGTGTCTCTAAATCAGTCCACAATATTTCAACCTTTTCAACTCATGTAAGTTCAAGTGGACACAGCTCAGTTTCATCATCAGGAGAAGTCATGCTGCCTATAAGCCAAAAACTGGAAGATTCTTTTTTGAGTACACTGAAGCCAAGTACTTATGTAGAAAGAACAGGATGTGTCCCAGAGCCAGAGTATCATTTGTGAAATTCTCTAAGAAGTTTACCAAATTCCAATATCCATGGCTACCTGTCAAATTACTGATTCCTTCACCCTGACCTCACTATTTTATTACTCCTTCAGAAAAATTTGGATAAAACACAAAATATAACAGCAAATATTAACAAGAAATATAACATGCTTTGGCATCTAAAGTTTTAAGACAGCCATGTAATTAAAGATGCAACCACACAATTAGTGGTGTATTATTCCAAAAGTCTGTAATAAAAGAGATGAATAATCTAGTACAGCTTACTGCAATTGCCAAGTAGAATAAGCTGAAATGTAACAAACATTTGTGCTGAAAAGATGTGCCATTTTCTATTAATAAAGCTAATTTTAAAATAGAAGTAGAGATGAGTCCCAAGATTTTTCAAAGCACAAAAGGCCAGAATCTCACAGTAGATGTTTCTGGTCAAAGCACCATTTCTTCTTTGATCTACAGGTAGCATTTGTATGATGTTTGCATTGCCCAAGCCTTGGAGTTTTTTTTCCCTTTTTCTTGGGAGGGTAGGGTGGACTTTTGTTTTTTCAGAGAAATGCAGCCACAATCCCTCCTAAATCCCATTACAGGGCTATCCCAGATTTACCTTTTTCCCTTCACCCCACAGAGAGCAGGGTTCTACATGACACATCCTCTCCTGCAAGCCTTGATGGGTAGTCACATGATTTAAATGCCACGTTAATTAACAAATACCAGAGCTGGCACCCAATGAGATGAACAGGATTGCACCAGGTCTGAAGAATCAGCTTCAGGTAAGGAAAAACTAAGGTTAGGTCCAGGCAGAGTCAGGAAATCTGCTCTACCCTGCCAGGAACTAAGGGCACACAGCCAAGTGGCACCAACTTCCAGCTGAGGGCCTGTTAAGTTGGCTTGATCTGATTGCATGATGACCACTGCTTCATCTGTTATACTTTTTTCTTTGGTCATATTTCCAAAATATTTTCATAAATGCTAACTTGGACAGTCAGCCTTCATACAGAAAAAAAAAAATAAAGTGAGACTGGATAATACTTGGCAGCAGGTACAGAAAATATTTCAGCAGCCCGTAACGAGTTTTACACAAGGACAGCTTACCCTGGATAAGGTTTAAACCCCAATTTTTTAAAAACCACCACCCCCCTTTAAGTTTGTATATTATTAATAGAGATTACCTCTTTTGAAAGATGAAAGAGCTTTGCTTTACAATCCCCAGTAGAATTTGAAACCTGTAAAACATAAATGCAAAAAAAAAAAAAAAAAGGCATAATGAAAGAATAAGCCCAAACCACAGACATGAAACTTTTCAGATTCTGTGATGATTAATAAAAGAAGGAATTTAAATTGCAAGCCATTCTGAAAGTGTTAATGTAAAAAAAGCATTACAGTTTTCTAGTAAAATTAGAACTTCAAACCAGCATGCACTTTACCTGTAAAGTCTCTATGGCACTAGTGAGAGGTAGAGGACAAGGGATCGACCATTTTTTAATCATAACCTGCAGAGACAGCATATTTCATGTATGAATGATATCCTAAAAATCAGTTTTCAATTTAGATACGCATAGCTGAAGTATCAGCCTGCTGGAACACACAGCAGGGAGCTACACCCCCTGTAAATTACCAGGCCTGCCTGGCAGACAGGCCACCAGAAGGAGACTCGGCAGAAAAGCCTGTCAGTGCCATTCCATCCAGCTGCTCACCCTGCACAGCTGGCAGCCTTATGGCCCAGGGATCTGGAGGTGGGGCACTGCAATGGGCTCTGACATGAGCTGAAATACAAGCAGCACTGGGGCTCCACACCAAGGGCCTCCCGGCCGGAATTGCTGCTGCCTTAGCGATCCCAGGCTCGCGCCCGGAGCACACAGAGCCCTCAACAGAGATAGAGCAGAGCCTAGGGCTAATCTTAAAAGGCAGAAACATATGGTTTGGACTAGAAAGCAAAGGAAAAACAATAAATGCAATTATTGTCCCAGAATGTCATTGGGCCTTCAGCTACACCCTGCTGGTTTAGGGACTGCCAAGTAACAGGGCTGAAAATCAAAGGGAAATTAAAATAAAAAATGTTACCTCCTTTTTCAGGAGCCTGGTTTAAAATGATAGTTGCATTGCTCTCCTCACCCTAATTAATTTCCTATTGTAGTTGCCTGGCTTTAGAGGTTATAATTCTTTTGAAGCCTAGAGCAAATAATTAAAAACTTAATTAAAGACTCAGATTCACGAGAAGAATAACATGCAAGGGAGCTCTTCTCCTGGCTCAGAGAACTGTGCTTTGTGTGCTGCCAAGTGATGTTTCCCAGAAGATTAGATGCTCCCTCTTGTCACCAGTGCCAGGAGAGGCAAACAAATGTTACCTCTGGCCAAAATGTGGGGAAAGAAAACTGTGGGTACACAGCAGGCTGAGTGCATTGTGGCAGTAACACATTTCAAACTGCACAAGAACAACTCACTCAAGGTATGGAACTAGGTGGGAGCCTGCTCAACAGCAGTCTGCAAACACCAAACGCTGTAATATAATTTGGGCCTGGGTTGTATTTAAAGACACCCAGACAGAGGAAGGCTTTGAAGGCTCCAAAGTAGTCAGCTTTGTGGGAACTCCCCCACTGCAGTCTAAAGCTGGAACAGGCACTGGAAAGGGGCATGGAGCTGAAGGGCAAGGTTTGGGAAAAGTAAAATGTGCTTGGCAGTGGTGAGGGGAAGATTTCCTGCAAGCTAAAGAGCAAAGATATATATAAATGTTGCAGAGGGAGGACCAGACAAGCCAAACCTAAAAGGCTGGAGAACATTTTTCTAAAATAAATATAATACAGATTAAGAACAGACTGAGGTGGAAATAAAAGAAGACAAAATAAAATGTACTAAGTGCATTAAAAAAAACCTGTATTTATATTTGCCCACCTATTTAATTATTCAAATGTTTTCAGGTTTCCAATTGTAGTCTAATGAGTTTCCCCAACAGGAAAGGATTTTTAAGCTGGCAGCACAGCCCAGATAGCTGAGCATTCATGCAGGCACCACAACCCTCCTCTGGAACTTTAAGCCTATTTCATATAAACATTCTTTTGAGTATAACATACATTTGGTTTTAAGTGAAAAAAAAGAAATTAAAAATCAAGAGAGATTCTAGTGGAAAAGGGGTATGTTAAGCCCACACCAAAAACACCGTTAAAGAATAAAGTTAAAGGCTCAAAGTGTTCTAATATTCTCAGTGATATTTTGTATCCTGCAGAGGGAAAACAGGAATCCCCTTATTCCAGCAGTACTGACAGCACTCAGCAAAGGGGCTGTCTGTGGATAACATCATTCATTGCATATGGCAGGTTCCCAATCTGCAACATGTTTAGTTCTGGGAACACAAACAAGAGATTCAGACAAACACCATCAGCAATCATTAACACCTTTGCTGAACAAGCTACCAATAATGCTCTCCACACACACAAAAAAATACAAGTCAGTCTTTATGCTTCACCAATATTTAATACAGCAAGAGGGGAGACAATACCAGAAAAGTTTAACAAACACAGTTTCTTTTCCCTGAGGATTCAATTCAGAGAAGTACTCAACAACTGAGCAACAGAAGTGCTCAGGACCTCATAGGATCTGGCTTTGAATTAATACTTACACATACTTGTTTTTCTCCTAGATCAGTTCATCTCAGTGTTTGCCATATTTTTCCAAGTAAAGCCTAGAACCAGTTTTTTGGCTTTAAAGGAAGAGATACTGAGGCACAGAGAGGACATTTGAGATCCAGAACTAAGAAATCTCCAGCCCTTTGCCCAGTGCACTCCCTGACCAGACTGACCAAGACGTCTCTTTTCTGCAGGCTGCAGTAAAATTGTGGCTTGCTGGCAAAAAGCTGAACAGATGGTGTGCACTTGAAAAGGCACAGAATTACTGTATATGCAAAATATAATTATATCGCTTCCATATGACTAACACAGTTCTCTTCTGGAACGAATTAAAACATATCTGCCACACAGAAATTAACAGTGTGCAAACTAAAACACCATTTCAACAGCACATATCACTCACTTCAAAGCAATTAGATATGAAAACTAAACCACATTTAATGCCTTTGACTTTCAGGGCCTGAACAAGTCACAGGGAATATTCTGTCAAGAGTATTGGTTGTCTGGAAATACCTGTAACGTCTTTTAAAAATGCTGACCTCAGATTTACTGTGGCTGCTGCTTTGCCATTTAACAAGAAAGAGTAAGCACAGAACTTAACCATTTAATAAAAAATCCAGCGGTCTGTACTCCTTCATTAGCACCTTCTATCCACTTTTTTGCTAGAGAATCACAAATTAAAATCTAGTTTAACTCATCCCAGCTTGACATGGCTGCATACAACTCTTGCTTACATGTTTCCTTTTTCAGGGACTGAAGTTGTTTTCAAATGCATCCACCCATTACAACAGCTTTCCTCAGAGATCCACACACATTCCCTTTGAAATCCAGGAGCTGAATTGGTTTTAAAACCCTTGCAACTTGCTTCAGCCAATGGCCTATGTCAGCATTATAGTCAGTGCTTTTTCTTACCTTTTTTTTCCCTTTTTTTTTCTTTTAAAGATAAATTTTAGGAGAGAGGTCAAAAGTTAAGGTAATTTATAAATATTACAAATGAATTTCCATTAACTCTGGAGAGGCTGTGGCTGCTTCTCAATGTTCAGCTTAAGAAGAATACTTCCCAAGGTCCTACAAACACTGCAGCTCTCCAGGGATACCCTAGGGAGATGTTTTGACAGCTTTGAAGTTTGGTTTTATCACATGGTTTAGTTCCTAATGGATTGCCTTGGTCTCCTGGATGGCATGTTTGTTCAACTTGCCTTCAACTCTGTTTATCCCTTTGTAAAACAGGTATTAAATGCAAGTCAATGCAAGCCAGAATAACAGGGCAGAGGGGGAACATTTTTGCCAGGCTCCCAAATAAGATTCAAATAGATGACAGAGTGAGAGTTGCTCAGTTGTACCACATATTACACATGTGCATTAACACACTTTTTCCCTGTAAAAAGAAAAAAAGTGCAACTTAAAGGCACATTTTCTCTCTTAGATCTGCCTAGCAGGTCTCACTTTTGATATTTGGAAACATCTACCTCACAGGGGCCTTGAGAGGGTGAACATCAGGGTCAAAAACCCCCATATGGCTCAGAGAAAAGAACTTTTCCTTTCAGCTGGAAAGGAGAATAAGGTCATTGACATATTAATGAATCTTGTAAACTGCCTTAATGAAGTTCTAGTTTTCTTTGCCTTTTTCTGAACTCTGTCACTCCATTATACATGTAAATTTAATTTATTTTGGAGTATATTAAATTTTCTGCTGCACTAGTTTCAGTAAGTAATAGTCAGAAGTTAAGAAAACAGAATCTCATTCCTCTGCAAGTAGGGAAACAAAAATATATGTGCCAGCTCCCTTTGCTGCAACATCAGTGGAAAAAAAAAAAAAGAATTGTTATATTTATCAGCCCAAAATATAACTATTTTAACTCTTTTCACATGCTTGGAAGTTCATACACGTTTCCCAGCCTCAGCAAAAAAAATGTAATCTATACAAGCTAACATATACTGAACTTGAAGAAAATTCTAAATTTCACATAAAAAATTAAGAGGGAGGGGAAGACAATTAATTTCAAAATAGGCTTATGAAAACATTCAAACAATAAGGGAAAAAAAAAAGCTTTGTAGAGATTTTTAACTTACCACAAGAGTAAAGTACACCGTAAAGAAAAATGATAAACTACTTGTGTAGCCAAGAAAGCCTGTAAAATAACAGTAAAAATAAAAGAGAATTTATAAGGAAAGTGATCCTAATGTACAGCTAAAGCTTTACATTTTAGGCATGTTTTCTATTACAGTGCTTGGTATCTGGGGCTTAGGACTCAGAATAACAACATTCCAACTGCCTGTCACAGATCATTTATGTAGTTTTGTAGGGCAGAATTAGAACTGGCTTACCACTAATGGCATGCTGTAAGTAAATGCAGCTCTTTAATGTTCTGCTGTAAAGATTTTATTTTAGTATTGCAGACAAAATACTACTGCAACCCAAGTAATAGGTTAACTAGGCAGGGCTGGAAGGCAGAACACACTACAACAACTTAAGTAATCACCACCACCAGCAGCCCCCTGCCAGTTTAAATAAATAAATAACCCATTAAGGTTTTAAAGTCTTCAACTGTAATTACTACTAAAGTAGAATAATATTCGCTTCTCTCCTTTAATTACTCACCAATTTTGGGAAGAAGGGCAAGAGGAAAAACAATGCAGACTGAAGTAAGCAGCAGCAGCAGTCTCCCATCGAGGTACCAAGACCTGTTGGAAAATTGATCTAGGATTGAGCCAAAGCTCAGGACTCCTAAAAATATGTTTAATTTAGAACTGTGATATTAGACAAAGCAACCACTAGGAAAAGAAAAAAAGAATTTCCTGTCTTACATGCAGTTTACATGAATTTGTACTCTTAGTTTCTACACTGACATAAAACAGAGCTCCCAGATAATGATGGAGGAGAGGATCATTCTGTAAGAAAACAGCACTGCAAGAATGCTCCACTGGCAAGTTAGTGTCTGCATGGATCAGGGGTCTGATGTGTGCCAATTAATATTTCTCATCAGCACAATATGCAAATCCCTGCCTTGATTCACAGCAATGGTCAGAGGGAAGGGTACTTCAGATTTCCTGCAGAAGTACCTACATAGCACAGTGTGTGTTGAAAAGTGGGTTACAAAAAGCTGCATATTTACACACCTGAAGAAACAGCAACATCAACTCCCACTCACTGCTGAGCTTCCCTTCCTTGCATACATCCATGAAAGATGTAAAGGCCAGAAGGGATAAAACATTATGCTGATGAAATCTGGTAGAATGTTTATGCATAAAACCGCACATATTAAAAAAGGATTGTAGAGGCACACCAAGTCCTCACACATTTAAAATCTATTTGAAGCATCCAAATGCCATCTCTGAAGTGAGGAAAGCACAGATGGATAAGTTGTTAAGTAACAGAAACATCTTGAGGGTGGCTGCCCCAACTTGGCAATAACCATATCCTGTACTGATAAACATCTTGCACATCAGCCTCCAACTTTACCACCTATAAACACTTTGACTTTTGACCTTCCAGTTTATTTAGTCCAGGATATGGTTAGCACCTAATAAACAGGCAGCACCTCAAGTTATCATGAGAGAAGTACCATAACACCTGTGTTAAAGAAGAATTATCATACAGGCTTAATAACTACTGCTATACATCATGGACAGCCACTTGTGTCACTTGCTTGAGAAGAAGAGTAATGTAAGTGAACACAGAAATTTCAAGGTTGAGGGCATCTTCACTGTATCAAACATAAAGCAACCATTAGGTGACAATGTCTATATTAAGAACAAGTCAAAACCATCTTTAAAATTGTATTATCATCTATGTCTGCTACTGCTACAATGAAGAAGCAGCTTTGCCAAGATCAGCTTCTTGCTGCAGCATTTACTCTTCACGTTGTTATTATTCAGCATTCATATGTTTTTAAACTTTCTTTCCAGTCTGGTGGATGTTCAGATTAGGAGCAACAGCATCATGGCAGAGAACATAAGGATCATGCACTGTGTGTAGATGTGGGATCTCTGTTTAAATCTCCTGATTCTAAACACGCAGCACACCCACAGCTGCCACCGAGGTTCACAAGCTCAGCAGAGCAGACAGAAAATTATTTTGGTTATTTTATGGTAAATGAAAAAATGTTTCTGGGTGAGAGAGGGAACAGAGAGGAAAACAGCAGCGAGGAAATGAAGGAGAAAAAGTAATTTTGTACACTGCTTCATTTTGGAATACCAATTCTTACATTTAAAAAGACCTCAAAAAAACTGCATAGTGGACTGGTTATTGGAAAATGTGTCCATTATCTCCCCAAAGTACTATTGTAAAAATACGCTTATTTTCCAAAGGCAGAATAAATGTTTTGATAGTGCCTTTAAAATCAATCTGATGTGTAAATTTAATCCTATATGATAAAAGCATTCAAAATATGAAATACAGATTGTAAATCCTTGACTCTGCTGAAAAAGCTTTGGCATGCAGATGTTTCTCCTCCCTCCCCCATGTTTTAACTAAAAGCAGACATTTATAAATCGCTTTAATTTCATTCCTGAATTCAACAGAACAAGATATTCATATGTTCTAAATTAGGATCTTACTCTCAGTTCATATCAATTATACAACACACAAGCAAGACAACTTAATTGCATCAATCACATCCTCTGACAGGGTCATTAAATGTTAACAGAGGGCTCACAAATTACAACTTTTTAACACAATCCTCATTTGAAACTATGTTTATGTCATCAAAACTATGTGGAATTCTTGTTATGCAGACAGAAACATCTCCACTCAATATTAATAAGTGTTCATATTGTACGGTTTTTGTTTTTTAAAAAGACATGAGGATGGTGTTAGACTGGCTCTGAGCCTTTCAAACACACGCACACCTGCTAACCTCGATCTATAAAAATAATTTAATGCACAGAGCATTCTTTAAATGGCTTTCCCAAATGTACGGCTCAGGAGGGTTTATGCATATAAAATACTTTCACAGATAGTTTAACTGACACTTTTGATACATCCTAATTACAGTTAAGATAAATTCTGCACCAAATGAAAGCATATCAGATGCTATAATGACTTAACAAAAACAAAACAGCTGTGCAATCCCATCTGGAAACAAGTGGTCCAGGTAAAGAAGTGGAATCCAACTATTCAATATTTATGCCCTTTGCATAAATAAGTTGCTTCTTAGGCTTGGTATTTGATTACCTATTTTTGTTGAACAATTTCCTACAATTTAAAATGTCTGCTAGTAAAAATGTACGCTTAACATCTGCAAAAAAATACACAGAAACAAAAGATTATGATATACCACGGCCATTAATATGGAAAAGAAATTAAATATGGATGTGGATACGCATATGTGCATGTTCCTGGAATACTGATTGACCACTATACTTGAACAATTTGCTTGGACAAATACTAGAGGAGAGAAACTGTCAAATAAACATTGATTGATGCAAGAACCCAAATTTACAGAAAATGGAGGAGATCAAGCTGCCAATCACCTAAGCACTGGAGCTGTGGTTAGGATTCCTATGGACAATCTCAGCTCTTTCTAAATGCAAAGCTGAACTTCACTCCCATCTCCAACTGTAATTTTAGCTAAGGAAGAAGTGTGGGTGTTGGCAGAGCTGACAGATCACTGAGGATTACAACAGCTCAGGTGATTTGTAATGAACAGTTCAACACTGTAGCCTGAGTGCTCACACCCAGGAGATGTGAGGTAGGACCTGGACAGACAAAGCTGTTGGGAGCATTTTCCCACAGGAACCTTAATGAAGTTTTCACAGTGCCTTTTTCAGACAGAACAACCCTTGGAGCAGCACAGGGTACCTCCAGGTTCTACTTACAAGGAGTTTTCTGCAGTTGTTTGTTTCAAAGTGTATCTTTGCTGAAAGAAAAGTCACTTTGCATTAACAGAGCTGAGCTGACATAAAATAAAAACTAGTAGTAAGAGATGTTAGATGCTAAATTTGGGGCTGGACAGATTGGAATACACACAGCAGATACAGCAGCAGCTCAACACCACAGTGTATAGAGAGTGAGGTTGAAGTATGAGCTTGAAGGAGAAGGTTACAGCACCCAAATTAAAAGCTGATGACTACCACAGCTGGAAGAGATACATGAGCAGACTAAAAATAACATATATACATAAAATGTAATAGTTTAGAAAGAAAAGAGAAAACTGACTAAAAAACCTTACTAAAACTGTGAGGGCCAGGAGAGCAGAAAGACAGAAAGCAGCCACAATTAATTTTTCAAACTCATTATAAAATCCAGAAGTTTTATGTGATAAAACAGAAAATCAACTAAAGTACCTTCTAACAAACTGATTTCCCACTTAAAATTCACCCACAATATCCAGGGATAATACAAGTATCACACAGCCTTGAGACAATTTCACCACATTTCAATCCAGAGCAAGTTTTGAGCTCAAAACATCCGAAAATAGCAGTTAGGAAAAACAGCAGTAACACACTCCAAGATACACTGTTACGAATGACAGCAGCACTGGAACAACTCAAACACGATGTTTCAGTGCTGAAGCTGCAGTGTTTGCCTCAGATTTCTTGTGACAGTTCCGATGGAAAAGTGAGGGACACGCTCCTTACAAAGAGCTTTACAGCTCAACTGCAAAAAATAACTTCTTTACTGGGAGCCAAGTTTAGGAATTATAAACCAAGTCTGGAAACCTGGCATTTTTCCCAAGACAAGTCCAATTACTAGAGCAAGACAGCAAAATATTTCAATATAAATGCCTGCCATTTTTTGTACTGTGAATTTGAATTATGTGAAGTGAATCCACGACAGCAGTGGAAATGTTTCCTCTCCTCTCCCTCCCAGTACCTTCGTGCTTCCCCTTTTAAAATATTACAGAAAGGAGATTCCTGTAGATGGGGTTTTGCCACTGACTTTAAGGTTGTAGGATGGGAAATCGCCATGAGGAAAGAATCACGCTCTGTGTGTGTGTGCTGCAAAAGACTTCCACTTGCCAAATATATTTCATATTCCAACAACTCATGTAAATGACTATTTATTTTCACATGTGAGATCAGAGAAGTGTCAGTAGCCATCTCTTTCAGCAGTGCTGAACCCCTTTTTTCTTCAAGACAAACACAGAATGCACGATTGGTCCTTACCCACTCTCGGCTCCACTCACAAGCCCCGCAACAGCCCCAGGAAGTTCAGACTTCACAATTAACAGATAAGATGACATGGCTGCAAACAGAAGCAGGACAGATTTAGCAGAGGAACAGCAGCATCTCAGCCAGCACTGCTGGACCGGCAGGGTTATGCCTGGAACATCTCAGCTCTGTGTGAGACACCGCGGCACCAGAACCAGAATTTATTTTCTCATATACTTCCTTTAAAAATAGCTGCAACTATTGCACTGATGTCAGCTAATGCCTCCAAAGAGACTCTTACAATGTGAGTTTGAAACAAGGAAAACATAATCCAAAGGACTAAAAGGCAAAATAATATAATATATAGGCCTGCCCTTCTACCTGGGAATACAGACCTACAGGCTAGAGACAGACTATAAGGCTGCAGCACTCCTCCTTCCTCTTTATGAGACATTATTCATAGTGACAGTAAATAATATTGGTTTCTCTCAGTACAACAGGGTTTTTAAATAGTCTTTTTTCATAGTTGTTGTACTTAATAAATATAAGACAGAAATTCAAACAGAAGTATAGGACTTGAAAGGTTTTTTTTATATACTGCAAGGTTTGGTCCTCAAAGCTAAGAGGATTATCAGTGACAGATCCCTGCTTCACATGATAAATCCATCACCAACAAGAGCCCAACAATAATATCAACTGCAGAACTGTACAGGAACTGTGAGGCAGAAGAGAAATTCTCAGCTACTTTTACAGGAGTATTCACTTGAAATTAAGTGGTTTTAATTCAATTCAGCAGAAAGCAATCCAAGAGCTCCTTCACTTTTCTCCTTCACTAAATACTGTGATCAAAGGAATGAATGAGAGGGTTTTAAAATCCCAAATTATACCAGTATGAAGGTCTGATACCTTCACGTACTTTTCATGTTGCTTTTTTATGTAACCAGCAGAGAATTACTCAAAAAATCAAGCTTTACAAACAGCTTCAATGAGCATCAAAGCCTACGTGAAACTGATTTCCATCCAGCAGCAGCAAGTAATTTTAGTAGTGTCAGTAAAAGCTTAGTTACATTCATTCCCTGACAAAAAACTCATCTGTTGTACTCAAATTTTACTGTTCTCTATTTAGTAATTCTTTAGAATTTTACCATGGTGTATTTATTCGTGCTTTAAAATTAAAACATACATTTTTGAAAAGGCAAACCAGCAACCTTTCGTAAGCTGATATTTCAATAAGTTTGTGTGGGTTTTCTTATTCAAGGAATTTTTTTTGAGTCTTAAAAGAAAAAATATGTAGACTACACACTACAGACATTGCTGTACTACAGCAGTTACTGTTAAATTTTGAAGAAAGGGTAAGGTGGTCCCTATAAAGAAAGAGAATTCTATTAATACAAAGTGACATCTACCTACCACAAAGTTAAATTAAAACCATTTGGTAAGTCACTAAATAATAATATTCACTTCCTCATAATTAAAAGCTCTGTTTTTCTCCAATATTTATGTATATTTAGTGACAGGTAGCTGTTGACTGTTGTGTGCTGAAGTATTTATCTGCTGTCCTGATTTACTGTCCTACAACAGAATGTAGGTTCAACCAGAGAGAATTACAGCATGTATATTTCTAAGTCACTAGAATTTGTAAGTAAATTAACCCAATTTTTCAAGCAAAGTTGCAGGCAGCTGCATATTTCATTCTATTTTTTTAAAAAAATAAGTAGGGGAGAAGGGAAAGGAAAATTCCTCTCAACTGCAATTCAACCTTATTTATCCATTATCCTTCTCTCCTGTATGATACAATACTTTATACACAAGCAAGTCGGAATTTTCATATATTTATGTCCTTCAGAAAGATTTCAAAACTAGTTCTTTTTCAGTCTCCACTGCAGAAACCTTCAAATTAATTTCCAGATCAGATTTCCTCCAATATGCAATCTGTCACTCTGCCCTTGAATTTCTATTAGCCTCTGGCTAATCACTTGATCACTTATCCTTTGTTGCTCATTCTTTGTTTTTGAGAGGAGTCCTATTTCACTGAATTCCACTTCTAAGGAGGGAGCCAGTCCTGCACCAAGAACCTTGTACACGCTGAACATTTGTATGCATGTTTCTTCCTTTCTCTGGCCATATGGGAAACAATCTCAAATAGCAGGATTTTTTTATATCCTCTTGTTTGTTCTACAAGATGAATAATGAATATTAAACTATCTTATTTATATCCTGATGCTTAAACAAGACCTGAATCTTGTGTACGAATCTGAGTAGGATGCCCATACTTTAATATAGTTTAAAAAGCCAAATTCTGCTTTTAGTTTATTTGCAAACACAGTTTTAATTCTCCTCAGGAGAAACAACTCCTTGTAGCTTTACTTGGCATGAAGACACGAACTACTGTGTAACTCTGCAACACACTACAGAGTGAGCAAAGAACATGGTTGGTTTGTTTGGTTTTTAGAGATGAAACTAAAACAAGGAAAACAAAAACAATGTGACAGTCTTTTTCTACCTGAGGAACTGATAGCATAGAATGTGACAGACAAAAAGTCAGGTATCTTTTACTACAAATAACAATCTGGACCTCACTTCCCTGACAGCCCCACAGCTGAAGCCACGTCAGGCTGTGCTATACAAATGAAACATCAGCTCTCCTTGGCAGCCTTAATATGCAACGGAAGGAAGAGATTACACAGCCACGAGACTCAGCTGTGCCACCAGTGAACACAACAAAAAGCCCACCCTCGTGCTCTGATTTAGCCCACTCTGAAATACTGACACAGGACACCTTTCCCACACAGGTTTCCTGCAGAACAAACAGTGTGCAGTGGCTTAGTCTGAGGCTGCAGCAATAGGGGGATGCCACGAGGGCTGAACTAGAATTATGTGAGCAACCTTTACATGGTCACATCCTAATTGTCAGCTTCTGAATTTGCATGTATTATGTTAGTTTTAGGCAATTTTCAGTATGCACCAAGAGCTACTTGATGGAGAACAGCTCTAAACTTCTCAACATACCACAGCTCAGCACAAATCACAAATATGTTATTAGTTTATTATTCTGTAGACTTACACTGTGTTGAAAGCAGTAAGAGATATTGCTCTTAAAATACCTATCACTTTGCCATGATCTGAAAACTTGGTATTAGCTCTTTGACAGAAAAAACAAGAAGTTTACTAAAATATAAAATAGAGTCATTGCTTTACACTTCCATTACTACAGCCTGCAGTGCCAGCATGAGCTGTGACTCTCTATAAATACACACAGCACGCATACATTATTCAGAATGTCTGTGCTGTGCTAGCAATATTGCTTAACACTGAGCTTATGTGCCCCTATCTGAAAAAACAGTTGCTTGGGAAAAGGTTGTTTTTTAAATAGTCCTCAAAATATCTCTTCTGAGGTAGCTCAAACTTAAAATACATGGGTGGCTGTTTGGTTAGCAGAAAAAAAAGTGTAACTTTTTCTTATTATTCTCCCCAAAAAGACACCAAGTGCTGAAGTCCTAAGAGAGGATGTCAGAGAATGTACAATAAACTTAGAAGTAAACACAGGGTTTATGGTGATAAATCCCTTCAAATAATTTCATTGAAGGAACTGACTCTTCTGCTTAACTTTTCCTCATCTGCCACTGCAGATGATCGTATTAGAGCCCTATAAAGATGTCTTGCATTTTTAAGCACTGTGCAAAGATGGAAACAAGCTCCCCTCCAAACTTCCCACAGGAGAAGAGAGGGCAGGTACTGGTTTTAATATTTCCTCTTAGGGGAAGTTTAACAAAAGAATATTGGGAAATTTTATTTGGTTTTAAATACAGATGTAGAATGGAGAGTGTGACAGAAGATGTACTCTTTGTTGATATGGAGAAATTCCAAGAACTGAAACAGGTTATCAATTTCTTTGCTTGGCCTTTCTGCTCCTCTGCTTTCTTTTCCTTCTATCTTTAGCCTTTACCTGAATTAGTCTGGAAACTACCCATGGCAAGCTTAAAAAACAAACAAAAAATCCTTCTTATTGTACACAGAACACACAGGCAGCAGATTTAGTTTGATAAAACTTCATTAGTTATAAGTGTACATTTATGCTAAACGAACAGAAAAGTTTCCTACATAGCTCATCAAATATTCCATTCTGTAGTACAGCTGCAGGCTGGTATTCCTGTCTTTTTTTTTTTTTTTCTATTATTTAAAGCAAACTTAATATTCTTTACAAGATCAAACTTTCCAAGAACCTTCCATTCACTGCAATAGGAAAACACAGGAGAATGGGTCATCAATTGTTAAATTAGTACAGGAGCTGACAAACCTGCCCTTAATTAAGGCAGCTCTGCACTGGAAATCCTCACTTTGAATCAGTCAGGATAATTAGGCTTTCAGGTCAAAAGTAAACCACGCTGTGAAAACAAACATTTGAGTTTGTTTGAAAACAGAATTAGGTTTCCCATACTTAAAGGAAGCTCAGTAATTTCTTAAGGTAATAAGGATGCAAGTCTCAGCATGTAAGAAGCTGTATTTTATTTTATTCCTCCAAGATTTGCAACATACATTCATTTTCAAAGTTTCTGGAGTATTGTTCTCGCTGATTATACAAAGGTTATTCCCATCTGCCCCCTCAGTCTGAAAAAAATATTTGCTTAAGTTTGAAACAAATTTTGCAAAAACTGCAGAATGGATGGGGCAGAGGGAAAAAGAAAGAAAACCACAAAAGAATAATCTGCAATTTAAAAATGCCCAATTAGCTTGATAAAAGAGGGGTTTTTTTTGCACAGCACCTCTAAGCAGGCACTCACAGAAAGCACACGTATATATATTTACATAGGGGGGAGGTAACTTAAATGTTTCACTGTTCACCTCAGCAGAACAAAGGGGAGGGGATGTGGAACACGGCAGGAGAAGCTGGAGGCTCCCGGCAGCTCTCCCGGGAAGGCGGCCCAGGGCGTGCGGGGCCGGGCCAGGCCAGCAGAGGGTGGTGCTGCTTTTTTTAATATCTGCTTTTTAAAATATCTGCTTTGCACAGCGCCTACGCCTCTCCATTGATTCCGGGAAGCTTGAAAAATACGAAGCACAGTACTGTAAATACATATTTAGGGTGTCTTACACTCACAGCAGGGTCTCTGTGTATTGTCTATCACCTTGTTAAACTCACCCTGAGTTTAATACATGGAAGCCAGCATAATTGAAAACGAACATGGAAACAAAAATTCTTCCTGAAAATAACACAGGCCATAAAATCTACAGAGCAGCATCACCCATTGGAATAAATCCTGTCGCTTCCAGTCACTGCCAAGGGTAAAAATCACTCCAGGGATACAGAATGGGCTTTTTTCCTCATTCCCGATTCTTACAAAGAAGAGAAGTGTGTACCTTTGAGGACACGTTATCTCCAGAACATTGAAACAAAAAATCAAAAAGCACCAGTTATAGAAATTACACCAAATTAAACAGTATTTATATGAGAAAACAAATAATTCGTTGTAAAGTTACTATAGGTGTCCAGAAAGTTTAGTTCTGAAGAATGACTGCAATGCCAACCTGGGTACAAGTCAAGGCAGGTTATCTGAAGAAACTGAAAAAATAAATATTGCAAAAGATCTCACAGAGACCACCTAAGCTACACGGTGGTACTGCAGCACTGCCAATAAATTTTAAATTATTAAACTCGTGTTCTCGGTGGTTTGGACTGATGTTTGTGTGCATCACAGCCACCAGCCCCTCTGGGCCCAGCCATACCTCAGCCAGCAGTGACCTTCAGCTGATGGCAGCCCCAGCCCTGGGAAGCACGCTGGAAAACTCCACATGCTTCCTGCTAGACCTCAGCACTGGGATTTGTTAGTGCTGGCAACGGGCTGAGAGCTGCTCTTGTGCAATACTTTATTGTGTTTGTCTCCATTTTTCCACCAGCCTTGCTAAGAATCAGCCCTTCTCTAACTTGATTACACATGCTTTAGGAGTCCTAGTTGGATACACGGCTGTGGACTGTCCTCCTTTTCAGTCACATCCAGAGAAAGGACAATTCTAGAAGGAGAAATTGCCGTCCTCCTCCCTCTCCTGCCTCAGAAAGCACCTAGGAAGCTCACAAAACTTCCCTGGCAGGGGAGAGGGAAGGGCTGTGCGATTCCCAGCCATGGCTTTGGCCCACTGTGTCTCATCCATCACTTCCTAGAAGCACAACACTATTAAACAATAGCAGGGAATCCATCCAACTCCAGCTGCTCCTGGGAAGGATGACACGAAGAGCCAGCAGAGCCATGGAACTCAGCATTTCCGACAGCAGCCTCCCTTCTCTCCTTGTGTGCCTCCAGGCCTGCAATTCCTCAAGAGCTCTCTCCCTTCTTTCAGGGCACCTGACACGACCTGGGGCCCTTCAAGATGCTCTCCTTCAGAGCAGGTGAGAAATGGACATTGGGAAGATCACTCCAGAGAAAGATGTGTGTGACAGGAGAGGGTTGGGAGGAGCAGATGAACAAACCTGAACAGCCTGGGAAGTGCCATTTGACAGTTCCCTTTTTCCTGTGCTCTTTGCACCCACACACACCAACCTGCCCTTTCAGGAACAAGGCAGTACACGTGAAACTAAGCACTGCTAATTTACATTAAAGGGCTTCTGGATTGGGTCAAAAAACTGAGAAATGGAATGTAAAAATTAGTAGCATTGGCCATCCCATTCAATCTTTTGATTTCCCCCATTACCAAATACCTATATTGCAAGAACAAGAACATACTCATTACAAGGAAAGCAAAGCAAATGTTCTCCAAGTTTAGTCACTCTAAGCTCTACATATTCTACAAAGTCTTTTGAGTTGTGGCATTAAAAGGACTCTCATTTACATCTGGATATTGAAAAATTAACTCAGTATCCTGGTACATCCTCAGTTAATCTTGATACTTTAATGGATTTTGCTATTTGATTTGTGTTATGTGGATTAATTAAATGCCTTCCAAGGGTAATTAAAAATCCACAGGAAAAGTTGAATACTCATGTTAGAGATGTATGTTAAAATTCCAAACAATGTACTTGAACACTTGAACCTTAATTTGACCAATCAGTGCTTTCCTGCAGCTGTACAAAAATGTTTATTTTCTTGTCCTTGGGTATCCTGGTAATTGAAAAAAATCAATTTCCCTATCTACACAAATCCGTAAGTGTATGCAATTAGAATGTCAAATTCAAACTTGCACATTAAGCTTTCTTTTAAAAAAACACAAAGATGACAAATTGGAAAGCGTAACTATTAAATTATTGCTAAAATGCTCTCTGCACTTCATATTAATGTAAATCACTCCTGCAGTTAGACTATTTTTAGAAGGGATCAGAGCAAACTTTAAAAAAAGCCCAGACTAGATGCAGATAGTGACAATAACCCTGCTAAAGTTGCTTAATCACAAGCCATCTTTCATTATCTCATGCTCTCTAATCACTTCTGAAATAAGATACTGTATGATGCAACATAGCCAGGTCTGATGATGGAAGAGGTAACACAAAACAATTTTATTTTTAGCCTTCCTCTGAAATCAAAGATGTTGACAGAGTCTGGATGTCTGCCCAATAGGCACCTTATTCCTGGTTCCTTCAGCCAGACAGAAAAACAGACAGAGGGGAACACTCCAAACCAGCACAACAGGCAGAGCCCAGGTTTTACACTTAATCCCAGCATGGATCCCAGTCAGGACAAACTACATTTCACAGTTTTCCCACGTAAAACCTGCCGAAGGACCAGAAAGACAAGAAAAATTCTTTTCTTTCCACCCATTTCTTTAAGAGGCAATGCTGTGTGGGAAGTGAACAGAACTCTTAATACCTTATTTTTTTAGGAGCCTGTCAGCCTGCAGTACAGTCACCTTCAGAGCTGGCTCCTGACACAGGGAACCTGGACTGCAGCATCCAGCATGCACTGGTTTGGGGCCCTAGAGTTACTGAGCTGAATTTTATTAAGAATGGCACAGAGGAGGTTATGAACTGTGATGAGGAAAAAATGAGATTTATATTTCCTTTGACTAAAGAGTCTTGTACATGATCCCAGAATCTCCAGAACCTGCTCTGTGTATCCCCCTTCCCTTGTACTGTTTAGTTTGAAAAGGAAATTAAAAGATTTTTCATTGCTACAGAACATTCTCTAAAACCTGTCGAAATAAACAGTCCTTAATCTTGGAATTGCTATGGTCACTCCTGCCTAAAATTAATGCTTGGATTTTTACAGCCATTTCATTTGGGAAGCTTTTATTCTATTGGAACTTTTAGTATAAGAAAAAAATCCAAGTTTATCATGAAACACAGTTACTTTGTCTAGTTCTGGTGTTTGTACAGTGACAAAAACCAGCAATCATTGAATTATCTGGACTTGACAGGTAATCTTAAAGGAAGGAACAGCACTGGAATGCTGTTTCCTTCTGTTGATGTATGTGAACATGGCTATCTGCTTGGTGGTAGGGAACAGAGGAGGGAACTTTCAGATAACCCCCTTATTTAAAAGAATGCATCCAAAACATTTACAACAAAAGAAAAATTAAAATTGTTCTATTAGACTTCAAATTGTTCTGTGTATGTTCAGACAAATAATTTCTAAATACTTAGTGACTGTCAAGTATGTAAGCATATCTGAGTAAGAGTTCAAGTACAAAAACAGGGAGTGTTATTTTATTATGCCATGTACCAAGGAAGACAAAATATGAACAGTGAAAGTGGACAGCCCATGTGATGTAAGTCAGGAAGATAAACAACTCCCCTAAAAAACAAATGATTGAGCTAAAAAAAAGAAAGGTCCCATTAATGCAGAACATATGAAACATCATAGGTAAGTAAACATTCACTTGCTGCACAAATGACTAAAATACATAGGCAGGTTCCAACAGCAAACCCCAAAACACCTGATCTGATAAAATGCAGCTACCAGATACAAATGTACAGAACAGCAGAGAGGAGATGCTGCTTCCTGAGCCCCTTTCCATGAGTAGTGCAGCTCTAATGGATGTGCTCCACATGCTGGGATGCAGCAACAGTTAGAGAATTCAACCCCCACAACTACAGCCCTTCTGCTTAGCACCATCACAAAAGCCTTTCCCTTAAGTTTTCTGTCCTTTTAATCAGTTTCTTAAAAACGCTTTAATTATTGCCTTTGGTGCTGGTGGAGCTTTGAAGCCTGTCACACAGTTAATATTGAGCATATGAAGTCTCTTACCTCCAATATTCTGGATAATTATTGTAGTTGCAACAAGGACCTATAAAAAATTGATTTCTTTAGAAAGGGTAAGGGTAACTAAAATCATATGTCTATAGCAGGCATAAAGCACATGTGTATTATCTTAAACACACCAGATGTAGCAGTGATAACTAGCCCTGAAAGGAAGGGAATCTTCTGCTTAGTGAGGAGTTTAACACATGGAAACCAACACAATTGAAAACGAACATGGAAACAAAAATTCTTCCTAAAAATATCACATTTTTATTCTGAGACAAAGCAAGTGTAATTGTACAGTGAAGACTGTTGTGCAGAAGAAAAGTTTTTTAAATCACTGAAAATACAACTGCATTCTAACTGATATCAGGAGAAATGAAAATTATCAATTATCTCAGGAAAGAAAGCAGAGATTTGTACAAGCTCAAGTGTACTTCCTTACCCCTGAGTATTTTTGACTGTCAGGAATGTTTAAACTTGTAAAACAGATAGACTTTTCCTTAGTACTTGTGATTATTCATACTGGACTGATATGGAAGCAAAAATGAATACAGATTATTAAAATACTTGCCTGAATAAAAAAAAATTAATTTCCAACTGAAAAAAACCCAAACCTAAAAGTGGCTATAAAGTTTTTGCAGTGTTTTCTTTTGAGTTTAGCTCTAAAATACCATGATCATCAGCTTTAGTTTTCTTTCTACCCACTGCTCTTCTTGATATAGGACATTTCCTAAATGACTGTTGCTGTTAAGTCAACTTGGAAAAAATTTATCCTACAGTAATGAGAAGTAGCACAAATTTGGTTTTTTTGAAAAAAATAATTTCAGGTTATAAATCATTCAAAATCAGTTCAAAACTCACCAAGGAAAGGAAGAAAAAAAATATGTTATCTTGGAATTTGCCATAGATGGAAATAAATAGTTCACACCTTTGGAAAGGGAGAATCAGCAATCTTCCAACAGCAGAATATTTCCATCCTTACAAATCTCAGAAAAATACATTTGAATGGAAATCAGCAAGTTGAGTAATTGCTCTACTTCAAGAGTAGTTAATCAGTAGTTTACTCAAACTAAGCTGCCAGTTGAAGCAAGGTTCTACACTGGCCTGGCAGTATCATCCCCTATGTGTGAGGGAGAAGTACTGCTGCAGAGAAAAAAAGCAAAAAAAAGTCATCTGTGCCTGACTGAAGAGAAAAGTATTCAGGGACAGATGAGAATTCAGAATGGTCGTGGTGAAGTCGAAAAGCCTAAAAATCAACAAGATCAGCTAGAAGCAAGGCATTCAGTAAGGAGAGCTCAAATACATGACTCAAGAGTTACTGGGTTGCAAAGAGAAAACAGTCTGAGATAACACAATCAGAAGCAGCAAAGCCTGTCTTGCAGGCAAGTTTTGAGAAAAAACTTGGAAAGGAAAGCTTGGTGAACTTTGATTATTTTATCAAAAGAACAGCTTCCCAACACAGAAATATTCTGGTGCTCTCCATGCACATTGAAAATAAAAAGCCAGATAAATTTCAGAACAGATTACTTAAACTGCAGATTATGAAACAGTATATTAAGAAGAATTAAAAAAGAAAAGCACATGTTGACTAGGATGTGAAGCTGTGAAATCTCCTTCACTTAAGCTTTTAAATAATAGATTAGATAAGCATCTGCCAAAAATGGTTTATGTATGTTCAGCTCTGCTTCAGGGCAAAGGCAGAGTAAGTAACATTTTAGTTTCTTCTTAAGCTCTACATTTCTATGACTTTTTCACATAATGGCTCATGGTTAATGTGTAGAGAACAGCTCCTGTAAAAAATAACTGTGTCTTATACCTTGCTATTATCAAGGTTAATTATCTCTTGAGGTTGATCATTTCTTAATTTAATCAATAAATATTGATCCTCAGGCTACACTCATCTGCTTATTAATGCTAATGGAAGCCTTACAAACATCTGATAGCTCAGGTTTAATTCTCACTGACATTTAGATATAAGAAAGCAGTCTCTAGTCTGTTAAGCCAAACTAATTTTAAAAAATTTGCATTGTTTCAGTAAAACATTAAAATTACACTTGTGTGTGGTAAAAACCTGTTTTCAGTAAGGAGTAACTGGAACACAGAGCACAGAATTCATAACACTAAATGTGCAGTATTCACAGGCAGTATTTCCTGTGCACCCATTGTTACTGAATAACTATTAGGAAAAAGATTCAGAACACACTACAGAAAAATAATAGCTAACATTTTAACTACTCTTATATCAGAAATGGGTAAGTTTGATGTTTGGTTGCTTTTGTTTGGTTGGCTGGTTTTCTGGGGGTTTTGTGGGGTTTTTTTAACCATGAGATAAAACAATTAAGAAACCTTCATGTGAAAAGCTTATTTAACAAAAGGAAACAAATAACATGTATTCTTAGTTGCTCCTGTTGTGGAAATGACATGAAAAGCCATCCCTTACCTTAGATCCCTATTAAATGCTGAAAACACCAACAGTAAATCCATCACTTACCTATCTCTTAACACTTTTATAACAGAGGTAGGACTGTATCAAGTCTGAACCTTGAGCCAACCTGACAACAATGCCAGTGAGCAGCTTTGTATACAGGTAACTAAAAGTGAACACTCTGACAGGAAAGCAGCACAAAATCCTGCATTTAAGGAGTGTAAATTTAACTGAAGTTTGGCTTCCACAGAGCAGACACACAAACTGAAACCAAGTGAAAAGTTTCAGCATACTGCAGTATCAGTAATATATTACTTATTTCATTTATGTCTCTTTACTATGCAAAGAACAGTTGCATATGGGAAGCATGAGACCAAGAAAAAAAACAGAGGTAAAAATGAATACTCACCCTTCCAGTTGATCCAAATGCAAACAGGCCAAGGTCTTCATAAGAAGTGACAGCTGTTGGTAAGGGAACAAAAAGAAGAGCTAAAATATCTCTAACTTGAAAAGCCTGAAAGCTCTATTTTGGCCCTTCTTTCCCCTTTTAAAATTAATAAAATTCAGAATTAAAAGAATATTTCATAGTATTTTTTTACTTACAAAATAGCTTTTATATACACCTGTACTCCTGCTACAAAATACAGCTCTATGCTTAAACATTCACAGATGCTTCAGAAACTCAATTTAGTATTTGCAATTGCAATATTTAAAATATACTAGTAGTACATTAATGGCAAATTGCCTTCTCCCAAAGACTTTCTATGTGGGTGAAGAATTATGAAATTAGCATTAGCAGTTAGATATATGATATTTCCGTATCTTATTCCTTAAAACAGCAGGTTTTTTAAAATTAGAATGACAACAGAGGATATATTTTCATCTTTCTACAAATATAAACACTACCATCTTTCCAGCTTTTAAGAACTAGGCCCTATCTATTTTCAAGAGAGCTGAAGGCAAACACTTTCTTTGGTTGAAATCTGTTATTAAAAATACCCAAAAGAAAACCCAAAGCAAAACAAAAATCCTGCCCTTACCTGCACTCGACTTACATAATTACATTAAAACAGTCTGTGGTTTCCTGTATAATTTTGCTGGGTTTTAGCTGAAGCTCACTTCTATTATTGCTGGTAACTCAAAACAATCCCTTCTCAGAAAGAAGGAAGTCATATTAAAGCCTTTCATTGTAACTCTGTATTTTGTTATTTGTTATTAGAAACTCAAGCAGTATCAAAAAGATGAAAGTTTTCTGAGAAGCACCACTCACTTTCTTGGGATATAATAAAACAGCTGTGAATGCCTCAGAGGGTAAAATTAATCTCAAAGCCACGTAATTCTGTAGTCAGGACACTTGGTTTCTGCTCCTTGGTTCGGTTTGGTACAACACTGCTCCTGTCACATCTGAACTGAGGGCCCAGCTTTGCAAGCTGAGCTTTTCACACCTGAGTGAAGCCCCATTCTCTGAAGGAAATGTCACAAGACATGGGAGACACAGGCACCTCACAGAGATCAGATGACAGGACTGGAGCCTCAGACTTGCCCAAGCTGGGGTGGTTTTATTTCATTGAAGTTCTGCACTCAATCAGATCAGTGCTCCAGAAGGGGAAAGAACAAAACAAAAACCAAACCAAGTAAAACTCCCTAAATTTTCTCATATGATTTTCTCAAGGGCAATATTTCCCATTCTGCTCTACTACAGACACCAGCACACTATGACAATACAAATGAAATAACAAAATTAAATGAGCCAGAGTCAGTGCTCAGCATAAACCTGGACTACCTCTAATAGATATAATTAAACAAAAAATATCTTATATAAGATATTACATTTTTCCTAATTTCCATTTATAAAGTAGCTGATCACAAGGAAAACAAAAGCATTTTAAATAGTCATCTTCACTGCCATTAAAAAAAAAAAACAGTAAAATAGTAAACATATTTAAGAGCAAGTTGTTTTTACCACATGGTAATAAATATACAGCACATATATATGAGGAGTTACCAGCAACGAGAACAAAATTTTCTCACAATTCCAAAAGAGCAATATGAAACCTTATTTTCTGTAGTAACTTTCTGTAATCAGTTTAGTCCTGTGAACACTGGGAAGCCCTATTACTTGATCATATTACTTCTGTAATTTCAGGACTATATGGAACAAAATATTTAGTGCAATTTATATAAAGATAAATAAGTTCTGCCTGATTAGCTTAATTTTTATCATTATTAACACTCCATGGAAATTATCCCTTTAAATGTCAAGGGGCAAGTATAGTACCAGGCAATATTTGTGACTAACTCCTAAAATGAAAAGAAAAAAGCAGCCACAAAACTTCAAAGTGCATCCCACTTAAATTCCCAATTCCTCTGCTTTACAGAGTAAGCTTAGCCTTTATCAGCCCAAAACAACACAGGTCATACTGAATTACCACCAGGACAAACACTGACTAAACTAATCTCAACTCAACACTTGACACTTGGGAATATTTTTTTTGCTAAGCCTTTTGGTCTACACAAATCACTTGATTTTGTCAAAGTCCAGACCGATGTAACTGAAGACATTTCTTTATTTTTGAACTGCAATTAAAATGCCTGGCCTCTGTTTAAAATGGAATTAGTATTAGTGCTTTCTTTTCAGGAGGTGTTTTATAGGTCATCTCTTACCTAAATAATAGTTCACAAACACTTTGACCAGTTTCTCTTTACCACCCTTCAAGTTTTTCTAGCTTGTTTTTAATATAAAAATACTAAAATTCCCTTCAAAAAATTTTTCCCATGGATTAAGTTTAATACTGTAACACTGTTCACAAATTAATACAAATTTTTTAAAGAAGAAGTTTAATTACCTACTTTGGAATCAAACACGTACAGAGATTTTACTTTGTCGAGGTACAAGAGATTGCATTTCCCACTTTTTAAAGACAGCGTTCCAAGGAAAAACTTGCTAAAAAATGCTACCTAACATTTAATTACTTCAATAGCTGACAGGAATTATAGGAAATATAATCTCAAATCTTATTTTTAAAAATCAAAACACAGAAGGTCATAAATCCAGCAAACTTATCCAGACATAGTTCTGGTGCAAGTCCTACCTGCCAGCATTAGGTGATAACTAATTATTAGTTTCAGACAGGAGAGATTCTTCATCCTGACACTTCAGCTGCATGCATTTCAAAAATGCTTTCCTGAGGTGGACTGTTGCCTTTGGACAAGAACTGAGGAGTTAAACCCTTCTTGCATATCAGGCCTCTGAGTTCAGAGCATCCAAACTCTCTTACTTCAAAAGACTTAAATCCTTAGTTTTCCCCCTCATCGAAATTCTTTTGCAAGAATCTCTTTAATTATTTTTTTACTAGACAACAGCTTAATACCACTTAATGCCCATAAAATTCAGAACTTTTCAGCCTGAAGTAAGAGGTTAATAAGGCCATTAAAATTATCTAAAGTCTCCCTTTTTTTTTTCCTTCTCATGTACCTCTCTAGCTACACGCTTCTGGTTCTGATTCCTTTTTAATAAGCAGCACGCCAAAATGAGAAAAAAAATTACCACTTCATCCCAAATCATCAAGCAGCCAAAAATACCAACCATAAAAGTAACCCTACCTCTGAGGGGTGTTTTTTAAGAATGTATGAAGATCACTCAACAGGTGGGGACAGGAGCAACAGATCTAAGTAGAATCGGGAAGCAATCATCTGAGAGACCACAGGCAGCTAAAGAAAACAAAGCCAAGGAGGAAAGAAGCAGAAGCTTTCTCCCACCACCTTTGAAAAAGAGAGGAAAACAGATGAGAGAGAAACAATAAGCAGGGAGACTTCCTGCTGTAACATGATCTTTGTGTAGAAGTCAAGGAAGGACTCAGTTGTTTCAGTAGCAGGAATTAAAACATGAGCAGATTTGACTGCAGGTATTAGAATGCACTGTTTGAACTGTCTCAAACCAGTGAAGTTTCCAAGGACTGCAACATGACTTCTCATTCAGCATCAAAAATGCTCTGTAAGCTGCATCTATAAATGATAATCCAATGATTGAAAAACCTGAATGGTATCCATTTCAAACCATGGACAAAAATATATGTACTACTCCAAGGAGAATGAATGAAAGGCTGCTCTTTTATTGCTCTTAAGCATTCACTGAAAGCAAAAGTACACACTGAAGTAGTGAGGCTCAGACAGCACCAAAATAGCTTTGCTGCAGAAATACAGGATCTCTCTGGAAAGATGAGGCTTTTAGCGAAAAAAAAAATTAAAAATTTAGAAAGCAGTCAGTATGTCATTGGCTTTTCATACAAAGACTCAAAATCATGTTTTTAAATGGCAGATACTATTTGTTAAAAACATTAAATATTTCAAGATCAGTCAATCAGACACCACTGTTAACTGCAATCTTTATAGTGGGTCATGTCTCTGTGTTAAAACTGAGGAAATATTTCAGAGCTCACTGTTAGATAAATCCTTTTCACTTACCAGTCTGAGTGCACATACTGAGCAGAAGAAACACAGAGTAAGAAGCAAGGCTGGCAACAATCAGCAGCAAGATACTAGAAACCACAAAATATTCACAATTAAGCACTTTTACAGAACAATGCACTTTGGAGCTTTAAGAATGCTACTCTTGCAAGAACTAAGCTACAAGATTTCCTCATTTTATGGCTTGTATCTGCTGACTATGGTTCACGTGGTCTCTGATTTTCCCAATACTTGCCAAGTTATCCTGCTGTATGGATTACAGACTGGTCATAGCCATGGAGTTTGTGTGTGCACATGAACACAAACACACATACTCCAGTGAAATGGAACCAATGCTTAGGAAATGGTCAAAGTGACAATTCCAGTGACTTTGGCCCCATTACCCACAGGTTAGCATTTGCAACAAGCAGAAGTGCAAACAAAAGCAGAAGTTGATTCACAGTTTTCAGCCACATATCCATCCTATGCCACAAGGCCCATTCCTGGAACTAAAGGAGATCACAGTTTTGAAAGGAAAATGTCAATCCATCAGGAGTAATGGCCAAGAAATTGCCACCCTGTGGCAATTTAATGCAACGTCTGGGTAGTATGTATGTTAGGCTAGATTCAAATGACTAAAATGAAAAAGGGAAGATCTTAATTAACAATTCTGAAACGCACAAATTATTTATTTTTTCCTCAGGTATGCACAGGAGTCTCAGTAATCAAGTTTTATTCAATTTAAACCTACAAGACGAGTTTAAAAATTAATACATGTAAAAGCTGAGAACTTACCTAAACCCCATGATCCCTGTGTTGGCCATGGCATAGGATAAGCCAAGTATCCCACTGCCCATGATTGCATTCATTAAGTTAAACACTGAGAAAGCAAAGGAAGAACCACGACTTGAAGAACTCTGTGAAAAGGACAGAAAAAAAAAAAAAGCACAATTAGTGGAAGAGGTGATTTGATCTTTACTAAAATGACATTCAAGGGAGGGGGCAACAGTCAACTTTTCTTTCTTTAATCTAAAATCTCACTTCTCATTCTCAAACAACGCAAATCCTTGTGCACACGAGATGCCGCCCCGCAAGCATCACAAGACGCCCACAACCTCTGAGCACAGCCAAGCTGAGCGCAAAACGAGCACAGCAAGATTTACAGCTCGGAGCGGGCTCTCCCTGCGCGCTCCCCACAGGGGCGAGGGCACATGGCAGCACTTCCAAGCGCTCAGCAAGCAGGGAATCGAAGGGATCAGGAGCAGCGATGGGACCCATCTCATCCTCCCCTCCAGGTGATCACCCTCTCCCCGGTGCTGTCACCCCGGAGCCGCCCCGCACAGCCCCGTCCCACCCGTCCTCTGAACCCGCGCTCCCCCTCAGCGCCCAGCGCAGCCCCCTCCGGGCGCTCCCTCCCCGCCGCCCCTCACACGCACGCTGCCCGACGGTGGCGGCAGCAGCGGGGCGGCCTCCCCGTCCTCCTCCTCCTCCTCATCGCCGTCCTCCTCCCGCCGCTCGCGGGCGGAGAGGTACCAGCCGCGGGTGGGCAGGGGCCGGACCCGCCCGGACCCCCAGGGCGGCGCCGCCGCCATCGCCCCCCGCGCCTGCCGAGCGCCCGAGAGGGGAGCGCCGGGGGCGGGGCCGGCCGGGGGCGTGGTCACTTCGGGGGGCGGGGCCTCCACTGAGGGGCGGGGCCCTTGCACTCGTGCCCGCCCCGCTGAGGAGACGGGGAGGGGCGGGGCCTTGTGGGCGTGGTCACATCTCCGGCCCCCGCCCACCCCGGCGCAGCGGCGATGACGCGCGCGCGCGGCGCGCGGGGCCCGGCATGAGGTGAGGGCGGGGGCGTGGGGAGCTGAGCGGGGGGAGAGAATTCCCTGAGGGGAGAACGGAATAAACGGGATAAAAGGGGATCGTGCGGTGAGGGAGAGGATGGTGTCTCTTCATAGGCGCCTTGGGAAGGTGGCGGCAGTGCCCCTCAGCCAGATCCAGCGTTGCGCACGGCTTCATCATGTGGGTTTAATCCAGAGAAGCGACAGGATCAGAGGGCATGGTCCCAAGTTGCGCCAGGGGAGGCGTAAATTGAACATTAGGAAGAATTTCTTCACAGAAAGGGTGATCAGACATTGGAACAATGTGGTGGAGTCACTGTCCTGGAGGTGTTTAAGGAAAGATTGGGCAAGGCGCCCCGTGCCGTGGTGAGGGATGTTCGGTCTCAGTTCCCTCGATGATCCCTGAAGTCTTTTCCAGACTATTCGATTCTGTCATTCCGAGAACCCCGCCACCCGTTCCCACCCCCAGGAAAATGCCGCAGGAAAAGCACGGGGATGCTGAGGCCTCTGGAGGAGGGATTTCTCCTGTGCAGCAGACGTGAGGAATGCAGTGTGGCTTAGGGAAGTGGGAGATGTAAGGAGTCCTGGCGAGGAGCTGGGATTTGATGGGAGCAGGAGCAGCTTTGGCAGGGTTTGGGCACAGCAGGTTTGTGAAGGAGAGAGCACACAGCCTGTTTTTACCCTGGAGGAGGAGCAGGGCTGAGGGAGGCAGGCAAGAGAACCAATTTCCTTGCAGAGCCTCTCAAAACAAGCTTGTAAAAAAGTCAGGAGAAATACCAACCTCCAGCACCACCTAAACCATTGGTTCCTGCCTTGGAGCAGCCAGTGCCAAGGCAGAAAATCGTGCCCTTTTGGTCTGTCTCTAGTGGAGGAAACCATTTAGAGAAGTGTAAAACCACTTTTCACGTTCCCATCTCGTGGATGAACCAGGGCTCAGTGGCAGGAACAGACACTACTGATGCTCCTCTGGACCTTATGGGGGACATTGCATTTAATTAATGACCTTTCTGGCATGCACCTCATGGAGCAAAGATATTGAGTGTGGAACCCCTTACAGTGGGGCATGGGAGGCAGAAATCACCAAAGAGTGATCATGACCACTGTTGCTAATAACTGTTTTCTAGCAACCACTGCTTGGTAATTAATTTTACCAGACACAGGAGGGATCCAACAGGAGCAGAATCAAGACAGTAGAAATCTTTCCATTTGGAGTACTGAGATTAATATCACATTTATTAGAACAAAGAGAGGTCATTGTTTTTTGGCAGGAGGGGATTATCTCGCTGCTTGAAGTCAGTTAATGTTTGAGTCTAAAAGTACATTTGCAAAATAACAGAAATTTGCAGCATATATTTCATAATAAAGAGCTTTGCTAAACTATTGTGGATTGTTTGGTACAGATGGAAATTCTGGTTTAAGAGAACAGCAAATCCATGTGATTTGCAGCCTTTTAAATGGAATGATTACATAATGTCTATAAAATGAATAATTCCTCTTCTAGGACTTTGTGGAGATTGGGATACTGTGCCAGACTACTGAAAACTAATCATTTTAGGACAGCTGCATCAAATACATCATTTCCAGCAGTTTGGATGCTATTAACACAACATTCTGGCAGAATACCTGGGCTCTTTGTAGTAGTTAAAAAAAATACTTTTTTCACAATGCCTGAAACCATGGAGGATAAAACTAATCCAGAACTGTATTTGCCACATCCTGGAGTGCGTGGGATGACACTGCTCAACAGAGAGGCTTTCAAAAGGACAGTGGTTGTTCCAGCTCTCAAAGTCAAGAAAGAAATTGTGCATAATGTGCTGAAGTCCCTAAAACAATCAGTACTGCAGCGTCCTGGCCTCAAGCGGGTGGTGGAGGACCCAGAGGATGAGGACAGTAGATTTGTTATCCTGGATCCCCATAAAGTACCAGAATTCTCACTGGGAGAATCAGAGCAACAGGTCCTGAAAGAGCTCAATGTCCATCCTGAGGTGTCCAAGTACCACCTGGAGCTGACCTATGAGAATTTCAAGTCGGAGGAGATCCTGCGAGCCGTCCTTCCTGAAGGTCAGGAGGTCACCTCTGGATTCAGCCGTGTTGGCCACATTGCTCATTTGAATCTCAGGGATCACCAGCTGCCCTACAGACACTTGATTGGTAGGTGAAACAGCTCCTCTCAGGAAGGTGTTTGTGTCATTTGGATATTGTTTAAAAGTTACCTTATTGAGGGGCACGGCTCTCTCCTCTCACTGCTCTGAGCCCTGGGCCAGGGTGAAGTGTGTGTCTTGGAAAGGTCACACCTGCAGCCCTGAGTCATTTCAGGGAGGTTGTTCCAACACACACTTACTTTTGTTAATTTAGCTGTGAACAGCAGATTTGCTGTAAAACGGGTCCTGGTCCCTTAACCATAATTATCTCTCATCCTCTCTTTCAGGCCAGGTTATAATGGACAAGAATCCAGGAATCACCTGTGTAGTGAATAAAACCAGTATTATCGACAGCACATACAGGAATTTTGAGATGGAAGTGCTTGCTGGAGAGAACAACCTGGTGACCAAGGTACAGGTCTTTCCCCTCTGGTATTTTAAATTTAATGTGCTAAAACCCAAAGGCATCTTCTGGAGAGATGTGCTGCAGGGATGCTGCTGAGACCATTCCTTTGCACAATGCCCTTCCTGACACCTGTCTGAGCCTGAGGGTTGGCTTTCCTTCTGCATTCCTTTGTCCTGCTCTGTCAAGGGCAAACTCAGCCAAAGGGATGAGGAAGGCATGTTTTCTTCCAAGTTCACAGCCTAGATTTAATGATGTGGATTTGATGTAAGAAAATCCAGTTTCCTAATTTCACCAAGCCTTGTACAGTGGCTGGTACAGAAATTTCAATCTCACCAACTTTGCAACTTTGGCAACATTTGCCTTTGCCTTTTTCCTCTTCTGTCAGCAGGAAGACAAACCTCCTGTCTCCTCTGCTCTGACATTTATCAGGTGTAATCACTGTGTAACTGCCAAGTGTTCTTCACATAGGGTCTCTTTTCTGTAGGTGGAAACTTGGCCACTGCTTCCACAAAAATATTTTCTCTTATCTGTTAGCAGCTTTATACTTTCAAAGGAGAAAACATGAGATTACAAAAAAAAAAAAAAGGTTGAATAGCTTGGTGGAACATCCTGTTCATGCAGAGAGAAAGCCATTGGATTGTCAAGGCAGCAGTGACAATTGAATTTTTTGCAGAGGGTGTCACCACAGACCTGGCACACCGTGGAGCTGCATCCAGGAATGCAGAGACACTTCGGGGTGTTTCTTGCTGGCAGAGCAAATGCTGTGGTGGTCTGGATCCCAAGTTACTGTACTTTGGAATCAGACAATTCCACATGCTGGTTCAAGGAGAGTATTATCTTGCATCCCATTCTCATCTGAATAAGTACTGTTCCTTTTCAGGTCTGTTCTTAAGATAGTGGCCATCCCAAAGCTTGGGTTTGGATCAGTTTCCAGACTCTGTCACCTTGGGAGATGAAATACAGTATCTTTCAAGCTGCAGAACTGGCTCCCAGTGGCTTTGAATTTGGCTGACGGTTCCTGTACTTGGGCCTATCATTCTCAGACGCTTATTTACTGTGTGCACTCCACAAAGGAGGGCTTGAGGCATCTTTCCAAGGTCTGCTTTCAATAAAGGAGTTGTCAGCCAGCCACAAAGCTCTTGAAAACCCTCAGGTTTTTTTAGGGTCATTTTAAGTTGCTGCTTTATTTCCACCTGGTGATTGAGACCTGCATAAAGCCAGCCATCAGGATTGACACTGGGGACATGGCTCTTTCTGATGATTTGACTGTTGATTTAAGATCTGTTTATTTGATTGCTTAGTTGATCCGTTTATTTAAGTTCACGTGTGCTATCAGTGGGGCAATGCTGATGTACACGTTACCTTTCAATAAGGCACCTTGGTTTTTCAT